TAAACAAACTTTAACTGCAGCAGCTTTTTTTTTTTTTTTTAACCTCTTTTTATGATGCTGTGCGGCGCTTCCTCTCAGATACAAATACCTCATCTAAGCACATAAACAACTTGTCAATTAGCGAACTGGTTGTACAAACATTTACAACTCTGAAATCGTCGGGGGTGCTGCCGAATGTTGTGGTGCAAACAGGAGCAGCTGCAAGACGGATAAAGCGTGAGAAAAGAAGTCAACTGTTCCCATTTGTTACAGATAAAGCTGGATGTTTACCTACCTTAAAAGGACATTTTTTGTCATGACCATATCACTTTTAACTAGATTAAGCCTCTCCTATTTTAGGTCAAAAGTGTCTGAGGGGGAAAATTATTATCTTTAGATCTAGAGGCTTACATAGAGTATGTCTTTTTAGAGAATGGAAAAGGCCAGATGCTTACCTCACAGCTTTGAAAGCTTCTGATATGTTAATTCATAACATACTAATTCAACTGAGGCCTACCTGTGGATCTATTTTAAGTCAAAACCTAAAGCACACTGCTTCCTTGTGTGACCTCAGTTGGTAACACTAGCTGATTTAAACTGGGTTGATTTAGTCTGATTAAGTGTCAAGATGTGAAAAAAAAGGCTATCTGTCTTTTATGTAGTATGTGTAAAATATCTGATTTAATCTGGATGTGTGTGCGCGTGTGCCTGTTTTTTTTCTTTTTTGTGTGTGTGCTGAGCTTTGTGGATTGGAAGTTCATTAACATGTCTTGCCTGCTTTGATGCACTGGTAACGTCACCAAGGATGGGATCAGAAACACAAGAGACAAATTATTCAAGTCTCATTTAACTTTTTGCAGGATATGCACAGGCGGAGAAAAGTTTTACACAATAAGCAAATTAATAGGACAACAACCAGCCTGTCGAGATGTTGGGGAGCCAGCTGGAATTAGATAATGGAAACATCCAGAGGCTTATCTGGCTGGAAAGAGCCCATCTGTCTCCGCGCTCAACTCACCGTCAGTGGAGCAGCCAGTGGATCCGTCGCTGGAGCAGTAGCGCATCTCAATCCTCTGCCTCCCCACTTCCAGGAGACTTGGGTCGGGGATGCGCGCTTTGCAGGTGTAGCGGAAACGCTGCTCGTAGTGGCCGCCGTTGTCGGAGATATTGACGGGCGTCCACGGCGTCCAGGGCGTCGTCTTCTTGAGGTCGGGGCACGGCAGGGTGTTGCAGGACTGGTACTCCTGGCGGCACAAAGAGCAATAAAAGAAAGAAAATGGCATCGGACACATTTTCTCTTTATGTCGAGCACGTTCACGGGCAGGTGAACCCGACGCATTCGGAGGAGGAAGAGGTAATCACATCAGTTAGGCAATAATTAGCATGACAGAGTTTTCTGGTATATTTCTCATGCATAATGAGGAGGACAATCACTGCTGAAAGTCTCAGCAGTGACTCATCATATTAAACAGATTATTTTATGCGACATCTACAGACTTTTCAAAGCTTTCACTGTCACTCCACCTTGAAAGCCTGTTAGCTCCAATTGAGTCAGACAACTCATACCTAAAATGCTTTTAAAACATGATTGAACAGTAAAACTGGATATCATAATTTGGACGTCAAAAAAATTTTTTAAAAAAAAAAAAAAAAAATATTTAAAAAATCCTCTGGATGTTTTGGAGTACGGTTACTGGAGAATATATATATA